AAATGTAGTCCCCACTCAACCCTGGTCACTGGTATTTTGCTGGCCAATGCACTATCACCTCCTTCCCCAAGTCATGGCCTCACAGTCTTCAAGAAGGAACAGTTAAACAGATTAGAAAAGCAAACAATTCTTTAATAGTAAAGAAACCCATGTGTGTGTGTTCATATTTAGGCTTTTGTATATGAATGAATGGTTAAGCAGATTTAGGAAAGCAAACAATTCTCTAACAGCAAAACGCATGTGGGTGTGTGCAAGTGTGTACTCATCAATATATAGGCTTTCTCAGAAAAAAGTAAGAAAAACAGATTGAGATGGGGGAGAGAGGACAGCTTCCCTCCTGCCAGTAGCAGTGCCCTGATCCATAGTTTAAAAGCAGACGCAGGTGTATTCCGGGTGTCATTTGTTTTGAGAGCCTGCAGAGAGCCATGTTTTGCTGCTTTGGGAATATCTGCCTATTAAACTAGTCCAAAGTCCAGGGACACTTATTTTCTCTCATTGCTGTCAATGTTTGTTCACAGGTAACCAGCCTCCCACCCCCCCTTCAAGCACCCCATTCAAGGGTGGGTGTGGTTTCTTAATCACAGCTCTCCAGGAGAGGAGGAATAAGAAAAGCAAAAAGACTGTTTAACATGATAAAGGAGGTGGGATGGGGGTGGAGCAGATAAGAGAAGTGTTGAAAATTTACTTAATTACTGGAGGTATATCCTTTTTAGTCCTTAAATCTAAAAAGCAGCCCCTTTAACAACTATCTCTAAGTACTTCCAGAAGAAGGGAGTGAGGTTGACTTTTACCAAAATCAGAACACCAGTTCTTTTTTTTTTTTTTTTTTTTTTTAAATGGGATCACACTGAAGCCTATTAAGAACCACCCACTCCTCCTCTGGCACAAAGCTGCCATTTTACCAGTCTAGAATTCAACCAATCACCATCCCTTAGGTTTTCACTTTTCCAAATATTTATACCGGCACTCTGTAATGCCACCTCTAACTTATTCAAGACAACGCAGGGTGCTGTTAAGAATGGTTACAAGCACTACAGAAAAGAAACCGAAGCTCGATAAATAAAGCCAGGATGGCACACAGAATCATTAAACACTCTCTAACTTTGTCACTTTGGGGAGGCCCTGACCGCATTATGCTCCCCCTCCTTGGCTTGAGTTGGGGTTTCCCCTAACTTGGGGACTATAAACAGGGACAAGCAGCTCGCCTTAAAGCATCTTGGACACTTTAAGCAGTGAAAGGAGAGAAAACGAGCTGAAAAAGCGCACTCGACAGCTTCCCAGTCATAGCAACTTTCACTGTTCACATTTTTTTTTCAAAAAAAAAAAAAGACACAAGTATAGGAAATCTATTTTCCCATTTTAGACCACACAGTTCAAAGGAACCTGAACCAAGCGGAACTTCATTATAATGCCAACCTTAGGATTGTAAAGCCCCCCCCCAAAAAAGCAAAGGTCAATTGCGTTGCCAAAATGCAACAAAGTTAAAAATTAAGAAAACTACATATAAATTAAAAACAGGGTTCCACTAACAAAAACAAAAACACAAAAAGGTAGTAAGAAACGCGAAACAGAATACTCGTGAGCTGAGCCCCTCTGAGAAGTCCTGGGACAGGTACTCCCTTGAAAGGGCCCCAGGAGGGGGCCTCAGCGCCACGCAGGTAAACGGAAGTGAACTTGGCAAAGCTACCCACCCCCCCGCCCCCCATCCCCACCCCACCCCCGGCCTCCGCCTCCTACACGTGCGACAGGGACACCTGCTTGTGGTAGGCGGCGGCGGCGGCGGCGGCGGCGGCCGGGGGGCGCCCGGCGGCCCGGTCCTGCCCGTGAGCGCGGCGCTCGCCTCGTAGTCCCCCGCGGCCGTGGCGCCGCCGCTCTTGTGGCCCCGCCGCGCGCGGCAGCAGCAGCGGCTGGTGAAGCGCCGCCACGACTCCACCGTCTTGCCGGACCAAATCCAGACGCCCGACGTGATGCCCACCACGAGGCACATGAAGTACTTGAGCATGAGCACCCAGTACTCGGGCTTGGCGCGCGGCTGGCCGGCGTCGGGGCCCGGGCACGCGCAGGTGAGCGCGGCCTCCCAGCTCTCGCGGTAGTGCTGCTCGTACAGGTAGCAGGCCACCACGATGCTGGCCGGCACCGTGTAGAGCAGCGTGAAGATGCCGATGCGGATCATGAGCTTCTCCAGCTTGTCCGTCTTGGTGCCGCCCTGCTTGATGACGCTGCGGATGCGGAACAGGGACACGAAGCCCGCCAGGAGGAAGAGGGTGCCCACCAGCAGGTAGAGCACCAGCGGGCCCAGCACGAAGCCGCGCAGCGAGTTCAGGTTCTGGTTGCCCACGTAGCAGATGCCGGCCACCGGGTCCCCGTCCACGGAGCTCAGGGCCAGCGCCGTGATGGACTTGACGCTGGGGATGAGCCACGCGGCCAGGTGGAAGTACTGCGCGTAGCCCGCGATGGCCTCGTTGCCCCACTTCATGCCGGCTGCCAGGAACCAGGTGAGCGACAGGATGACCCACCAGATGGAGCTGGCCATGCCGAAGAAGTAGACCAGCAGGAAGACGACGGTGCACAGCGCGGGGCCCGTCGTCTCGTAGTGGATGTGGCTGTGCTCGCGGCTGCAGGCGACGCTGGCGTGGCCCACCACCAGGCGCACCAGGAAGCCCAGCGACACGCACAGGTAGCAGGCAGACAGGAAGATGATGGGGCGCTCGGGGTAGCGGAAGCGCTCCATGTCGATCAGGAAGGTGGCCACCGTGGTGGAGGTGGAGATGAAGCACAGCACGGACCACAGGCCGATCCAGAAGGTGGCGAACGTGCGCTCGTCGGGGCTGAAGGAGGGCTGGTAGCAGGGCACCGCGCAGTTGGGCACCTGGCCCGTGCGCACCTTGTTGTAGAGCGGGTGCGACTCCTTCAGGATGGGCACGAAGGGCTCGCGGCACTTGCACACCGACGGGCCCCCGGCGGCGCACTCGGCGCCCGAGGCCGGCCCCCCCGCGGGGCCCGGGAGCGTGGGTTTGGCCGGGAAGGGCCTGGGGGGCGCCGTGGTGGCCTCGCTGCGGTTGTAATCCATGCACAGGACCTCGGCGTCGCGGCCCAGCACCGGCAGCCGGTCGCAGCTCATGCGCTCGGGCCAGGCGAAGCCGTACTGCCGCATGAGCGGCGAGCAGCCGGCCTTGGCGCGCTCGCACACGGAGCGGCAGGGCGGCAGCGGCTTGTGGTAGTCGGGCAGGCAGATGGGCGTGTACATGGAGCAGAGGAAGAAGCGCAGGTCGGGCGAGCAGTGGATCTCCACCAGCGGCCAGAACTGGTGCACCTCCAGGCCCGCCTCGTCCTGCGTGTCGTGGTTGAACTGGTTGGGCATGTGCGTCAGGTTGTAGCCGATGCCGCGGCACATGGGCACCGTGATCTCCTGGCACACCGGGGCCTTGGACGCGGCCGCCGCGCGGCCCAGCAGCTGCGCCAGGAGCAGCAGCAGCAGCGAGGGCGGTGCGCACGGGTCAGGCCGAGCCATAGCCGCGTCCCTCCCTCGCCGGCCGCAGCCCGCCGCCCGCCGCCCGCCGCCACCGGGCCGGCCTTTCCGCCGACTCGGGTGTGTGTGTGTGTGTGTGTGTGTGTGTGGCGCCGGGGCTGGCAACCTGTTGGTCTCTTTTCTCTCAGATCCGTCCGGGGATCAACTGTTTCGGGAGGGCGCTCCGCCGCAGGCAGCGCTCAGCTCTCCGCCGGGCCGCGCGGGGAGGGGCGGCGAGGGCTCCGACTCCGGGGCGAGCGCTCTTTAGACAAGAAGCTGAGGGAGAAGGAAAATTGCAACCACTCCCGGTCAGAGAGGAGTCCACGCTCGGTCCCCGCAGGCGCTCTGCGAGTCTCTAACTTAGCGTCTCTGCCTTTTCCCTCCCCTCCACCTCCGGGAACCAAACTACCCACTCCCAGCCCGCCTCCCTCCCTCTAGGCCGGGGGCCTCCGGGCTGCACCCCGGGGCCCGAGCGCTCAGCCGCCCGCCCAAGGGCGGAGGAACCGGGACGCGGACGCGGGAAGGGGAAGGCGCGGGCTCTCACCTCCGCGGCTCCCGGGAGAAGCAGGCGGTCGGCGGCCAGCCTGGGCGCTCCGTCCCCGGGACACTCGCTCACAAACGCGACTCGGAGCCGGGCTGGCACCCGAAAAGTTTGGCGGTAGGCTGGGAGTCCGGGGCGCGGCACATGGCAGCAGGGGGGGGGGCGTCTCAGAGAGGGGGTCGCGCCCGGGACGCGGCCGCCGCAGGCCGGCCACTCGCCCTCGCCTCCTCCGGGGCCCCCTGCATGATGGATCCGAGCGGGGCGGAGCGGGAGCAGGCCGCGCGCTCCGGCGGGCTCCGGCCGCCGGACGAGGGGCGAGCGCGCCTGGCAGCACCTGGGCGGGAGGAAGGCGGTGGGCGGCAGCCGGGGGGTCCCGCTGCCTCACTGCGCCGCGAGCAGCCGGCGCTGGCCCCGCCGGGACTGCATGGTGCCCGCCCGCCGCCGCGTCCAGCCCGCTGCTCGCCTCCTCCCCTGCAGGGGGCTCCGCGCTCCAGCGGGCTCCCGGGGGCGGGGGCGGGGGCGGCGGCGGCGCTCCCGGGACGCGCCCGGCGCGGCTCCTCCCCCGCGCTCTCGCACTCCCTCGCCCACCTCCGGCGGGTCCGGAGCGGCGCGCGGCGGCGAGGGCGGCGGAGACACGGGCGCGGGCGGACTGGCCTGTCCCGCCCCGCCCGGGTCACCTGCCTCTAAAGCCCGCCGGGAGGCCCCGCCCCCGCCCCGCCCCCTCGCGCCGGGGCTCGGTTGGTGGGCCGCCCCGCCACGTTCTCCGCGCGTCCCCGCCCACTGCCCCGCGGGCTCGGCCTCCCCGCCCCCCCGCCCCGGGCGCCCTCCGGCCCCGCCCCCGAGCGGGCCGCCGCGGAGCGCGGGCCAATAAGCGGGCCGGAAAGCGACGGGGGCGGGGCGAATGCTAATCGCTCCTTCTTGAGACCCGGGGCGGGAAAGCTTTGCGGCAAGTCCTCCTGGAGTTCGCGGGCGCCTGCGGGCCCGGGGCTCCCTTGCCTCTAACAGACTTAGCTTACGGACCCTTGCTTGCTTCCAGAACCCCTAGCAGGTCTCTCTGCAGCCGAAAGTCCTTAGCGTCCAGCGCTTGTTCAAAAGAACTGCTCGAGGAACCCTTCTTAGCCGTGGCACCTGTGTCCGCTCCGCGCTGCGCTCAGACCAGGTGAGCTCACGCGGAGAGAAGGGCCGAGGCTTACTGAGCTGAGCCCCTACTGTGTGCCCGACGGCGCGCTCGTCGTTCATATCTTAATACAAGAACTCAGGTCTTTACAATTCCGTGAGACAGGTACTCCTTACAGGTGAACGGGCCAAGGTATAGAAACTTGACCACGGCCACCGAGCTAATAATACTCGCCCAGGAAACCCGCAACACAGGCGGTCTTCACCCGGGTCGGCTGAGCGCCTGGCACGTAGTGGGCGCTCAAATGGTAACTCGGGATCCGAACCCACGTAGCTGCATCCCAATGTTAACTACTTCCCGCCCCTCCCCCCCATGGACTATCTCTATCCTCCAGTCTTCAACCTTGACCTTTGCATCTCGTCACAAAATCTTATGGTCGTGATAAGAATGTGATTTTCTTCCTGTCTTTGGAAGACTCGAGAGACGTTAGTCCTTTATCAGTCAAAGTTTAAAATCCCAGGCAGTTCCGAAGTGGGCTGCAGAGAGCAGCGGCGCTGGCTCGAGGCTCCGTAAGGGGCAGGGCGCCCGGCCCCCCGGGGCTGCCTGCTATGAGCCGCGCACCCGCGTCCCTCGGGGGAGTTGGGGCGCAAGGTGCAGCCCCGGCCGGCGGGGAGACCCTCCGGGTGCCCGCTCTCCAGATACGTTATTATGCTGCAAGTTTTAAATGTCCTAAAAATGTCTCTTTTCTACGTGTTCTAATTAGGTTGGAAGACTGAGGTGTTCAGCATTCTTGAAATTCATTCACACGCTTACAAAGAGGGTTTGAATTGTTTCCCGCCCCCCACCCCTTCCTTCCTCTGGGAAGAAGTCGGAAAAAAAGCAGGAGGGCCTGGGTACTTCAAGGAGTCAGGACTGGACTAAAGGGCTGAGATAGACTACCGTCATTGTCCTTCTGTCCCGGATCCTGTCTGTACAGGCTGGGAGACTGAATTGCAGAATAGCCCTCTCCCTTTTGCTGATCAGCAAGGCTTTGTGGACAATAATGAAGAAAGTGTGCATTATTCATCCCAGACTCAAAGTTTTTTTTTAAGTTTTTTTAAAATTTTTATTTATTTATGATAGTCACACACACACAGAGAGAGAGAGAGAGAGAGAGAGGCAGAGACACAGGCAAAGGGAGAAGCAGGCTCCATGCACCGGGAGCCCGACGTGGGATTTGATTCCGGGTCTCCAGGATCGCGCCCTGGGCCAAAGGCAGGCGCGAAACCGCTGCGCCACCCAGGGATCCCCCAGACTCAAAGTTTAAAGTGAATAAATACAATTGTTTCACAAGCATCAAAACTATTGATAAATATGTTTAGAATATACTTTACGTCTTTCCTTCCCTGACATTCTACAGGTGTTCATATTTAACATCTTTTGTGTTTTGGAAACACTTGGCACTCTGGGTCAGCAAACGTCCCAGGGTCGCAAGTAGTGGGATTGAAAAGCTACGGAATATCAAATCAAAAAGAAAGGGAAACCCTCAGTGGAAAGTATGTGCAGACTCTGAACATGCCAAGCGAGGGCTGTCTCATTCTGTGCCCTTTATGCGACGTGTGTATTATTGGGGATGGACAAGTGTTGGCTAATAATAAAAATCATTTGAAGTTGGAGAATGTTAATCACTCATGCTGGAATTTAGCCAGAATACTTGTGTTATTTCACTTGGTTCTGATTCAAACGATGTTATCTACTGGCCTACAAACCTCCCTCTTCTTAATCAAGAGTGAAATGTTATGTTTGCTTGGAGGTCTCTAGTAATAGTAGTAATAACAGCAGAAAACTTTGCCAAAAGAGACTTATTTTGCACCGTGTAGTTTTTTGCATCATTTAAATTTTTGCTTTTTTAATATATATTACTTCAATTTAAGGACAGTTTAAAAACATGCTGATGCTTTAGCCTGTATTAAGGAGGCTGCTAATTCGTTTACATTATCTCATTTAATCCCTCACAACAATCAGATGGAAGCGGGCCTCATCACAACTTGCTTGAGGTTACCTATCTAGTCCACAGAAAGGATAGAAATCAAAATGCTCTCTTGAGTCATAATTTATTATTCAACAAGCTGGAAAACACTACATGATCTTTTAAAGGTGCAATTTGTAAGTATCTAGAACATAGCCAAGCATTCTCTTTGATTCATTCACCCATCTATCCTTTCATCTAGCCATTTGTGTATCCATCCATCCATCCATCCATCCATCCAAGAAACCAAATTTCTGAGTTGAAGACACAACTGCTATGTTAAACATGTTTCTACAAAGCCAAATTCATGAAATTCAATTTAAATGATTGTCCAAGGTGTGTTTATTGATTGATGAAAATACAGAGGACAATGCTTAATATTCAATCAAAAAAGTGTGTGATATTGCAAAACTTTTGAGGTCGTGGCTTTGGATTTTGTCATCAGGGAATAGTTGGAGCATTTTTAATCTTCCGAGGATGGTGTTCCTTCTACGTGCATTATTCTGTTGAGATACTTGAGAGTTCAATGTTTTAGGAATGACTGGACAGATGGACTTTGTATACTCTTCAATATCTTCATAATCAACCCTAGAACAGTAATGCTACACACAGACACCTTCAATAAATATTTGTGAAATAAATGAGTGATTGAAACATCAAAGAGATTACCTTTCTAAACTTTAGCAACTGACATTGAATCCCTATGACCTATATCTCTGAGGCTGACCAAACCCTGTTAAAATGCATCACGAGTCCAAACCTTGTCTCTGTCTTTACTAGCTGAACCACCTAAGAGCTCCAGATGCTCCTTCCTTACCTATAAAATGGAGATACAAATAGTTATCTACCCCATAGAGTTGTAGGGAGGGGTGAATGAATTGATATGGTTGAGAGCTTAGCACCTCATCTAGCACCTGGTAAGTGTCATTATTATTAGTTTCTACTGTGGTTCGTTCTACTTTTCTGTTTTCCCGATCTTCTATATTTTCTTGTGTGTATTACTTTAATAATGGGAGAAAAGTGATACTTTATGTCTGAGCACACTCTCAGCTGTCACCAGCTATCTCCGGTATTTAGATATTAGCTAAAATTTTATGCCAAGGCAGGGATCATTGCACATGCCCTGAACCCAAGTGCATGCAACCAGACAATGAGTGTGCGAGCATGCACAGTGCTGGCTCAGGGGAGACACCGCTAGCCAACATGAATCCCTCACGGGTGTTTCCAGACTAGCTCTTTACCTGTCCTAGAGCATTTCTGACCACTTCTCTTATCAGATCAGACACTTCTAGATGAGAAAGCACGACACTGACCAGAGGATTAACGAGTCATTTCTCCATGTGCATAATGAGAATGTCTTGTTCATATCATAAGCAGAGTAATTCAACCATAATCTTTAGTCCTTTCCCTTCCTCCATCATGTGGAGATTATAAAAAGGTAAAAGCTTTCTCTTCCCCCAGAGGTAATGGCAGTACTCATCTTTCCCACATTGACCTCTGGCTCTCAGCAGCGCACTGTGATCATGTGAGGAAGCTTTAAGAAACACTGACGCGTGGGTCCTATTAAATCGAAATCTCTAGTTCAGGGACCTTTGAGACCTTGTTTTTTTTTTTATTTTGTTTGTTTATTTCTTTATTTTTGTCGGTGCTTTGTTTTTAACTCTCCAAGTGATCCTGATTTTCAGCGAGGGTCAGGAATGACTGACATAGTTGATTCTGTATTTCCTCAGTACGGCCCCAAACTCAGGCCCAGCTGGATCTTTGACAGTAAGGGTTAATCACGTCAGTGTGTAAATGGAACACCTCGGGGGAAAGTGTGGAGAGGTACAGTCTAATTGCTTGTGGGTCTGTTTGGGCTGTAGGAAAAATCGGGTAAAGCAACAGGATTGTGGTTATAGGGGTGAGACCATTAACAGCAATGAGGACCATAATAACATTGTACATATATGATCTCTTTTACCCCCAAGAATCTTGTAAGGTTGATATTATTATTTCTGTTTTATAGACCAAGAAACTGAGGTTTAGACAAGTAACTTGTGACATAAGGTCACGCACCTTCCGACTTAGAGTTTCTGACTCCAAAGCCTATGCTACCATCGACTGCAGACCCCAAGTGAAGCCCAGCAGAGAGGGTCCTGAGAACCACCAGAAGGTAAGTCTTGGGATAAGCAACTTCCCTTGTTCCTTTGCATCTCTTTCCTGGGGACCAAGCTGAATCTTCAGCAGTGGGCTGGCCTTTTGTGTGTGTGTGTGTGTGTGTGTGTGTATGTGTGGCTAACGTGAAAATGCTGAGGGCTCTGCATTCATCTAGAATCCAGTGTGAATTGAGAGCCAACTTGTTCTTTGGCCTTTGTAGACTACGCAGAAGGTGGGATGCCCCTTAGACCTGAACGTTCCTGGTATTTTGGCAGGGGAAGCTGCAGTTCAGTAAATATTGATGTGGCCTGTGCTGTGGGCTGAGCACTGGTGCCAGAGTGCAAAGATGAGGAGGCGTGGACTTTCCAGGCAGGGCATGGTGGGAGTACAGCAGAGGCACCTATCCCAACCTGTCGGAGAAGACCTGGGCTGTGCCCGGAAGGCTGCATATGAGTTAGGCATCTATCAGTCAGGGTTTGGTACAGAAAATAGAAACCACTCTAGGTATTTCTTTCTTTTTTAAAAAAATATTTATTTATTTGACATATTGAAAAAGAGAATGAGCACAAGCAGGGGGAGCAGCAGGCAGAGGGAGAGGGAGAAGCAGGCTTCCCGCAGAATAGGGAGCCCGACGTGGAGCTCTATCCCAGGGATCATTACCTGAGCCGAAGGCAGGTGGTTAATGACTGAGCCACCGGGGCGCCCCCACTCTGGGTATTTCAAGTGGAGGAAGACAGTACTGGGAATCAAGCAAAGGCTTACAGAATTGTTGGAAAGGCTGGAGGAGCAGAAGTCATCAGGCTACCTGGACTGTTGGATTCCAGGGGCCACCACAGCAGCTGTGTCCTACAAGTGACAATGGTGCTGCCGCCACCACTGCCTTCATACCCATGAATCTGGTGACTAGACACTAAGACAGGATGCCGAGTCCAGCATTAGGTACTTCTTAGCATCACCTCTCACACTCTGCTTGCCAGCAGCAGCAGCAGCAGCAGCATGGTGCCTTCTCCTTGCATCCACCTGCAAGATCCTGTCGGAGGCACCTGGTTGACTGTGCTTATTTCATATCCAGACCCGAGCTGCAAGAGAGTCTGGGAACTAAAGTTTAGAAGTGTCCAATTTTTCCATCTAGATTACTAGAAGAAGGCTATAACAGAAGCAATCCTCTGTATCTGCTACAGGTGAAAAAACTGAAAAGAACTTCCTGGACAGAGGAATGGGCACAAGCAACGGGCATAAGGTCACGGAAGAGCAGTGAGCAAGTGGCTATCAGTGAGTCACAGAAGCATCCGAATCAAAGTTTTCACCTGAAGGGACACTCATGTCTAATCAACGTAGGTTTACATTTAGACCCATACGTACACGTAACAAGCTTTTACTGATACTGCGCTTGATGTACTCAACTGTCCGCTAATGCAGAAGGAGAAACAAAGTGAGCCAAAGGCACAAGAAAGAAAGAAATGAAAGTATTGGGTGATATTTGTGCACACAAAGAAAACAGAGACGGGCAGCTCAGGTGGCTCAGCGGTTTAGTGCCTGCCTTCGGCCCAGGGCCTGATCCTGGAGACCTGGGATCGAGTCCCCTGTCGGGCTCCCTGCATGGAGCCTGCTTCTCCCTCTGCCTGTGTCTCTACCTCTCTCTGTGTCTCTCATGAATAAATAAGTAATATCTTAAAAAAAAAAAAGAAAGAGAGATAACAGAGACTTAAACTTCTCCAAGCTTAATGTTGCAAACACTGTTGATACTCAAGAGTCATCTCCCCTTTCTCCTTCCTAACAGGACCCCAGGTTTTTGTTTGGTTTGGGTTTTAATCTACTCTTTTCTGCACAGCCATGGGCTCCAGGAGGGGCAGGAGCTCCAGCCCAAGCCTCAAGAAGTAGCATGTGATTGGTCCAACTGGTCATGCTGCTTGCCTTCTTCTTATCAGTATTGCGGTTCCCCGGGGGCACAGGGCACCGTTCTGGCCCATACGGGAGTGGGCCCATGTGGGGTAGATCTGCCAGGGGGTGCTGGGAAAGATTTTACTCCAGAAGAGAGGCAGCCCTCTCTCTTACTGGGCATCATTTCGTCTGCCTGCAATGCCAACCATCGCAGGCACCATCTTACAGCCAATAAAGAGCTAAGCTGGTGCACAGGAGGGATGACACGGGGTTCCTGAGCTGCCTGCCTGCAGACTTCTTGATACGTGATGGAACACACTACTCATTTTTTTTAAGCCAGTTGAGTCCTTGCTCTCTGCCACTTGCCACTGAGAACATCGTGACTGCTGCACACAGCCTGCAGATTTAGGATGAGGATCTTCCTTCTTAAACTTGGCAAATAGAAGTCTCTTGAGGAAATTTAAGGACAAAAATTTATCCCCTTTCCCCCTCTCTCTATTTATTTATTATTATTATTCTAGAATAACTGTTATTCTTCCTTCAAAAGTATTCGAGACCCACTCAGATGTCATTCCTGGGTGGCTGAATTGTTTGTTATTCCCACAACCCTTCCACCACTCCTCTATGACAGCATCTTACTCCTTCTCTTTCAACAAATAGTTACAGAGTACGTGTTATAGGTTCAGTCATCTTCTGGGCCCAGGGGGTAGAGCAGGGAACTAGAGGCATGGAGATCCCAGTCCAGCAGGAAGACAGAAGATGACCAAAAACATTTAAATATGATGACTCTTGTCAAAGGGGAAAAAAGAATTCTTATGGCAGCATTTAAAAGAGGAGGTGCACCTGGGGGCTTGGTGGGTTAAGCGGCCAACTCTTGATTTCAGCTCAGGTCATGTTCTCAGGGTCATGAGATCAAGCCCTGCCACAGGCTCTGTGCTTGGTGTGGACCCTGCTTGAGAGTCTCTCTCTCCCTCTGCCCCGCCTCCCCCCACCTCTCTCTCTCCAATAAATAAATACCTCTTAAAAAATAAAAATAAAAGAGGAGGAAACAACTACTTTGAAGTTTATTTTATCGCATTGGGATTATCTGTTCATGTATCAGTTTTTCCCACTAGAGTGTGTGTTCTTGCAACCTCACATCCCTCACCCCTTCCCGAGAGATGGTTATATTCCAGAGGTGGCTGCAAAAACATCTCCCATTCCACATGTTCTGCAATGCAAACTTGCCATTCCCTACCGGGGAGGGAAACAGGAGGTCTTACGTCCTCTGCTTTGCATCTCAGTGAGCTTGTGATGATTTTGACCAATAGATTATGTTGGGAGCGATGCTATAGATCTTCCAAGATTGATGTCATAAAAGGCCACGCAGCTTCCACCTGCTTCCCTTGGAGCCCTTGTTTCTTGAAATGTTCCTTCTCTGGGGCACACCCTCCTGGGACCTATAGGTGGATGCCCCAGGTGACAGTCCCAGCGGAGTGAGCATTCGAGTCATCCCAGGCCAGGAGTCTGACATATGAATAAAGGAGCTTCCTGATAATTCCAGCCCCCAGCCTCAACTCCTCCCCAGCCTCAACTCCTCAACTGTTCAAGTTTTTCCATTTGAGGCCCCGGGTGTCATGAAGCAGACCCAGGCCATCCCTGCTGTGCTTTCTCCTCACTTGTGCTCTACAGCATCCATGAGCATAAGAAAATGCCTACTGGGTTTACGCCACTAGTTGGGAGTGGTTTGTTACACAGTGGTGGTGACTGGAATACCCCAAATCTGCCTTCCTGTGAAATCTTAGATGACCAAGGAGACCACTTTTTTTCTTTTTACCGGCCCCAGCTGGTGATCAGCTTAGGCACTGAAGCTCGAGAACTTTCATCCTACTTTCATCCTGTTGAGCCTCACTGTTGATGATATGCATGTGAAATGTCTAATCTTTTAAAACACAAATCTTCACCATTGATCTTAATATCCTGCTGCAGTGAGTTCCCCAGGTCAATTGTGTGTAGTGGGGAAAAAAGTACCTCCTTTTATCCATTTTAAACATGCTTCCTTTTCATCCCATCTTGTCCTCTTGTTCTTCCCCAAGTAAAGGTATTTCCATTTTGTGGCTACCTAGACACAGAGGACTGAGTTGAGACAATAATCTTGCTTTGAGGCGGTCACCCAGAAGGCCTCAGGTGTGCTGCCACATAGAGCAGTGGATTTTAGCTGGTGACTTAAAGGTGGTGGGACACTCTATTCTAATTGGTCACAGGTTTAGTGCCAAGTTTGTAAAAACTAGTCTCTAAAAAAAAAAAAGAAGAAGAAAAAGAAAGAAAGAGAAAGAAGAAAGAAAGAAAGAAAGAAAGAAAGAAAGAAGAAAGAAAGAAAGAAAGAAAGAAAGAAAGAAAGAAAGAAAGAAAGAAAGAGAAAGATAGAGTTTCAGTGTACCTGGGTGGCTCAGTAGGTTAAGTGTCTGCCTTCTGCTCAGGTCATGATCTTAGGGTCCTAGGATTGAGCCCCATGTTGGGTTCCCTGCTCAGTGGGGAGTCTGCTTCTCTCTCTCCCTCTGCCCTTTCCCACTCATGCTCTGTCTCCCTCTCTCAAATAAATAAATAAAATCTTAAAAAAATAAATAAAATAGTCTCTAAATTCTGCAAGAGGCAATGGGTGTCTTCTTGTGGGGCTGGTAAATGGAGCACAGTATAGTGGGAAGAGCAATGGCTGGGACGTGCACAAGCTGGATTCAAGTCTTGTGAGCCAGCTGTGTGTCCCTGGGCATAGCACTTAACCTCTCTGGACCTCATTTTCCTCAGCTATAGAAAGAGAAGATTCAATCAGGGGGCCCTGTCGCACCCTTCTGCCTTTAACACTCAATGAATTTCATGTATTTGCCAGTCATTTTGAAATATCTATTAAATGAATTCATGGGAAGAAAAAGCCTGTACTCTCAACAGTTTTCCTTTTTTAGTTCTAAAGTGGGGCTGGAGAGAACCCCTGCTCCCCCTGAAAAAAATCCTCTAGTTTTTGGAGAACAAATGCTATCTTTTTCCAAAAACAGAATCTGAACTAGGCTTCAATTACCAAAAATAGATTCTGACTGTGTCTGCTAAGTGACAGCTCCTGCAGCCTGTGACTTTGGGGTGCCAGGGTGCATCCCTAGAGCTCCCTCCAGGCTTGCTCCCAGGAGCCAGTCTGCTCTCACAGCTGCATGCGGGGATCAGCAGCGTGGACACAGCTTCATGCCCAGTGACCAGAAGGGATGGACGGGGCAACGGCCTCTGCTGCATGACCACCTCGGAGAGGAAAAAGAATATTGTCCAGTGAGCAATGCGGTAGGAATGACTCCAGTGAATCCCAAGCGATCTGAAATCTCTTCCCAATCGTTTTTTCCATATAGAAGGAGAAAGCAGTCACTGGGGCTAGAAGGCCTTTCAGCTCACTCAGCTCAGACTCATTAGCACTGCTTTTCTGGTCTGCTGGATACGTCGTCAACAGTTGTGACACTTAGAACTTCATGTGCTCCAACCCACGTCCTCAGCTCTGCATCCTGTTTTCTCTTACTGGATGCTCACTTGCCAATCTCAAGTTTGGAATGCTTCTCATCTTTGATTTTTAAATTCATTGCAGAGTCACCACTCTTGAAGGGCTACCGGGCTGGGAGGACAGATTGCTTCTTGCTGTTGGGTTAGCAAACTCTATCAATAGTGAGAAGCAGCGTCCAAAGGCCCTGCTCTACAGAAACTTATTTGCTGGATCAAGGTCTTTATAATTCACGGAGTGTAGAGAGTCTTAGATTTCAAGTGACAAGTAGCAGAATAACAGTAGTAAAAGTAATAAAATAATATATCTGATCCCTAGGGAGGCTTTTTAAAAGTATGAATTCTAAAAAAAGAATCCTCCTCTACCTTCCTTAATGATGTATCTAATGTCCTACATGATCACACATATCCCCTTCATGATCATCATCATGGTATGCAAGAATGATTTCATGTTTTCATTAAGGCATTCAAGGAAGACTTGCAAACATCACAGCAACACTCTGTGTTGTATCAGTGGGAAGACTGAAGATCATGGAGGATGAACTGTTTGGCTACTATTTACTTGTTTGGATTATTTGGCTAAACCAAATCACAAGTGTAACTTTTTCTTAGAACAGTGCTACCCCTGCTAGGCTGCCTCGGTGTGCTCAGTGACTACTTGGTTGTAGCTAAAAGGAGAACCTAGTGTACCAAACACCACAGTTTGTTCTCCCTTCTGCCTTCCTACTCACACTCTAGCTGGGTGATGACTTTGAAGGCTTGCTGGCTTCAAAATTCTTCAGCCCATATGGGCTATACTGCATCATTGCTTGTTGCTCAAAGACACGCCGCAGAGATGATTTACTGTTTAAGTAAATGGTACCTACAGAACTGGTCGTGTAAGGGGCTGTATTTTTTTTTAACTAATAGACTTTTATTTTAGAGCATCTTTAGGTTTACAGAAAATTGAGTGGATAGTAGAGTTGCCAATATCCCCTCTTCCCACTCACAGCTTCCCCTATTATTACTAATATCTTAACTAAGATCCATAGTTTACATTAGAATTTACTCTTAACAAAACTGAAAGACAACCTATCAGAAAGGGAGAAGATATTTGCAAATGACATATCTGATAAAGTGTTTGTATCCAAAATATATAAAGAGCTTATTTTTTTTATATAAAGAGCTTATTAAACTTATCTTCCAAAAACCAAATAATCTAGTTAAAAAATGGGCAGAAGACATGAGTAGACATTTTCCCAAAGAAGACCTCCAGATGGCTAACAGACACATGAAAAGATGCTCAACATCACTCATTGTCAGGAAAATACAAATCAAAGCTAAAATGAGGTATCACCTCACATCAGTCAGATTGGCTAAAATGAACAACACAGGAAACAACAAGTGTTGGGGAGGATATGAAGAAAGGGGAACCCTCTTATGCTGTTGGTGGGAATGCAAAGCAGTACAGCCACTGGTGCAAATAGTATGGAGGTTCCTCAAAAAGTTAAAAATGAAACTACCCTATGATCCAGCAATTGTACTACTAGGTATTTGCCCAAAGAATACAAAATTACTGATTCGAAGGGGCACGTGCACCCTGATGTTTATAGCAGCATTGTCAACAATAGCATAATTATGGAAAGATGACTGATGAACAGATAAAGAATGTTTATATTTATGTTTATGTTTATATATGTATATATAATGGAATAATACTCAGCCATCAAACAAGAATAAAATCTTACTATTTGCAATGACGTGGATGGAGTTAGAGAATACTATGCTAAGTGAAATAAGTTAAAGAAAGACAAATACCATATGATTTCGCTCATATGTGGAAACAAAACAAATGAAAGGGGGGGGAGAGAAGCAAACCAAGAAACAGACTCTCAACTCTAGAGACTAGACTGATGGTTACTGGAGGGGAGGTGGGCAGGGGGATGGGTTAAATAGGCAATGGGGATTAAGAAGGGCATTTGTTGTGATGAGCGCTGGATGTTGCAGTTAAGTGTTGTATCAGTAAATTCTATATCTGAAACTAAAATAAAAGTTTCAGTGTTTATGTTCTATCGGTTTTGACAAATACTGTCACATATCCACTGTTACAATATTGTACAGAATAGCTTTCCTGCCCTAAAAATCTTCTGCGTTTCATCTAATCATCACTTGCCCATCACCCCCCGCCCAAGCCCTGGTAATCTTTTTACTCTTTTTACTCTTTATAGTTTTGCCTTTTCCAGAATACCATATAGTTGATCATACAGTATGTAGCCTTTTCAGAATGGCTTCTTTCCCTTAGTAGTACCCAATTAGATTTCCTTCATGTCTTTTCATGGCTTGATATAGCTTGATAGCTTATTTCTTTTCTTTTTTTAAATATATGTTTTTGTGTTTTATATTTTTTATTTTTTTTACTTTTTAAAAAATATTTTATTTATTTATTCATGAGAGACAGAGAGAAAGGCACACAGGCAGAGGGAGAAGCAGGCTCCATGCAGGGAGCCTGATGTGGGACTCGATCCCGGGTCTCCAGGATCACACCCTGGGCTGAAGGCAGTGCTAAACTGCTGAGCCACCTGAACTGCCATATTTTTTTACTTTTTAAAGTAGGCTCCATGCCCAGGGTGGGGCTTGAACTCATGAACTTGAGATTAAGAGTTGTGTGCTCTGCTGACTGAGCCAGCCAGGTGCCCCTGGGTGGTTGTTGTTGTTTTTAGAATGGTTGTAGGTTTACAGCAAAAGTGAGCAGAAAGTACAGAGAGTTCCCATATACTTCCTATCCCTGCAAATGCACAGCCATACCTATTATCAACATTCCACACTGGAGTAGTACATTGTTATAATAAATGAACCTATACTGACACATCATTATCACCAAAAGCCATAATCACATCAGGGGTCACTGATGGTATTGTTCACTTTGTAGATTTTGACAAATGTATAATGGTATGTATCCACTATTATGGTATTGCAAGGGATAGTTTCATTGCCCTGAAGATCCTCTATGCCCCACCTATTCATCTGTCCTTCTCTCCAAACCCTGGCAACCACTGATCCATAGTTTTGCCTTTTTTCAGAATGTCATATAGTTGGAATCACAGTCTTTAGCCTTTTCAGATTGCTTCTTTCACTCAGTAGTGTATACATTGTATGGTTTCT